TTTTTTTTTTAAGAATGCCATTGAATCTTTGATAGGGGTTAAAATGACATCTCAAACCAAATACAAAAATGAACTCCAAATAATTGAAAAGTTGTATATAAGACCTGAAACCATAAAGCACACAGAAAAAAAAACAGGCAAAACACTACAAACACTGAATTCTGTGATGTCTTTGGGGTCTTAATGTTAAGGGAAAGGAAATACAAGCAAAAAATTAACAAATGGGATTATATAAAACTGAAAAGCTTCTGCACAGCAAAAGAAAACTTCATGAAAATGACAAGACATGGGCATCCCTGGTGGCCTAGGGGTTAAGTCTTAGGCTATCATCACTATGGCCTGAGTTGGATACCCAGCCAGGGAGGTGACCCACATGGCTCAGCAGACCTCTTCTGTCTTGCCTGCTGCTCCCCTCAGCAGTATATTTCAGTAGATCTGCCTGTTTTGCTCTCCACTCCACCTCTGGTGAATCCTCTTACCCCCGTACCTCTGGCCTATACCCCAGTTTTTGTATGCATAAATAAATAAACCTTTAAAAAATAAAAAATAAAATGACAAGACACTCTAGTAAATGGGAGAAAATATTTGCACATCAGACATTCAATGAAGGATTGATATATCCAAGATCTATAAAGAATTCATACAACTCAACAAAAAGAAAATAACCCAATTAAATGATGGACAGAAGAGCTAAATAGCCACTTCCCCAAAGAAGACATATAGATGACCAACAGGCACAGAATAAAATGTTCATCATCACTATCATTAGGGAAATGCAAATCAAAACCAGAGTGAAGCACCATATCATACCTGTGAGAATGGCCCATATCAAAAAGACCAGAAACAACAAATGCTGGTGAGAATGTGGAGAAAAAGAAATCCCCCTGCACTGTTAGTGGGAATGCAGACTGGTCCAGTCCCTATGAATAGCAACAGGGAGGTTTTTCACATCTCCAATTTGATTCAGACACTCCACTCTTAGGTTATCTATCTGAAGAATGCAGTACTATTTATAGTAGCCAAACCATGGAAACAACCTAAGAGCTCAAGTTCAGATGATGGATTAAGAATGGATTTATATATATGTACATATATATTTATATACATACACACACACGTTAGAATACTACTCAGCTATATAAGATGAAATCTTGCCATTTGTGACAACGTGAATGGAGCTTATCCTAGGTGAAAAAGACAGAAGGAGAAAGACACATACCAGATATTATCATTCATATGTGGGATATAAAGAAACAAACAAAGCAACAGACAATATTAAACCAAAACAAACCCTAGAAATATGATTGCAGAATTGCGGTTAGGGGAACCTAACAGTGGGGTGGTGAACAAGGTGGGGTAGGGGGAGCAGAGGAACTTAGTGCACTGCATTGGAGGATTATTTGTGCTTTGATGATGAGTATGGTGTGGCTGTACATCTGAAGAGGTGTGAACTTATACTCCTAAATCATACATAGTTTTGTAAACTGTTACCTGAATCAAAAATGATAGTTTAAAAATGAATCTTAATTAAAAGATACAAGTGGAAATATTTATGTCAGCTCAATTCTTAGGAGAAAAAAATATTTTTTCTTCTTGCTTTGTTCACTGAAATGGTTCAGAAGCAACATTCCATAGCACAGGGTGCAAAGTGCCATTACTCATATGCAATATTTTCCCCACTAAAGGAACAAGGGCTCATTGAGGAGAAGTGTCACTCTATCTTGTGGTAGAGAAGAAAACAAAGTGAATCTGGAAGGCCTTTATGTGCCAGAAAGCAAGGACATTTTTAAGATCATTGGGTCATGTTAAGAGGACATAACAGCAAGTCTAAAAAATGTTCCCACTGATGAAAGCTGGGACAATTTAAGCATCGAAAAGAGAATAGTGGCTGTGGTTGAGTAAATACAGCTAAAATTGAAAACTAGACATCTATAAAGATGTAAAGAAAGAAAAAATAAATATATTCTAAAAGAAAATAAAGTGACTATACAGTTAGTGTAGTCATTCAATTGTTTTGATATTGCTGATTCATTTCCTATAAGACAATATAGAAACTAGTGAATTCATTGGAAGGCATTTTTGGATTTAAAAGGACTACTGGTAAAATTACTGCATATTGTGACTTCTGGGTAGATGAAACCACCTAAAATGTCCAAAATCCAACTGGACATATATTTATGTATTTTTAAAAGCCTTATGGTTTTAAGTATATGATAAAGGTGAGAATCCACCTAAGTTTTTCATATTTCTTTGGAACCCATCAAGTCAAATATTTAGACTATTTACTTGAGGTTTACTCCTTGAACTTGGAAGAGAAAAAAGACTACCTTTTAAATTTAACCTCTATGTGACAGTTCGCATTCTTTTCAATTATGAATATAGGTACAGATCACAGTTGTATTAGTAGAACCTTTGACTTTGTCAACATCAGAGATCACAGATATTTTTATATTATATACTAATTGTTGCAAATATTACAAAAATAATATTTAGGCTAGTTGTAAATTTTGTTAAGAAATATCTATTTTATTACAAAATTGTTTTTATTATTTTATAAAAATATTTCAATGCAATTCATTTCCTCATTAATCCTATGTACTTCATTTTATGCTTTTAACTTTATTCTTAGAAGGCTCCATAGTCTTCACCAGACTTTCAGATAAGTCAATGGTACCAAATAAGATTCAGAGCCCTAGACAAGGAAAATAATTCTTTACAAAGACATCAATTTGAGTGAGAGTTCTGAAAATTTTGTAGTAGGCCTACTGAACTGAATCCCAGGAAGAGGACCAACTGAACACTCTCCTCTTGAAGTTATGAAATCTATAGTAATTGTAAAAATTACTATTAAAAAAACTGACAATCCTTCCATTGACAGCTATGAGCTATGACTCCCTCCCACCCTTTCCGACTTTGAAGCTGGGTAGGTTTGTGCCTGTTTTGACAAATCAAGAAAGAAGTGACAGTATTAAGACTTCATAGGCTACATGCAAAAAGTCAATTGAGCTTCTTATTCTTGGGGAAACTTTTCCTTACCATAAAATCCACCTGTCTAGGGGCTGCCATGCTGTGAGGAGCCACAGGTGAGGTGTCTTATCAACTAGGCTGACAGTTATATCTGAGCCCAGCTATTGGATCCTCCCAACCCAAGTGGCAGACAAGTAGATGGGGGAGCCTCCAGATGATCCCAGCACCCAAGCTGTTGTGTCACCCCAGACATTCACCCTCCACCTGAAACCCAAGTCCTCAGGGAGCAGAGTCAAATCATCCTTTTGTGCCCTGTCTGAATTCCTGCCATACAAACTATGGATCAAAATAAAATGGTGGCTTTTTATGCCACTGAGTTTTGAAGTGATTTGTTATACTGCAAGAAATCAATATTATAGGGCTTAAGATGAGTCAAATGTAAATCTAGTTATATATCATGAATTTCTCTTAGTAAATAATGTCAGCTGAAACTAAATAGATGGCTAGTAGCCTGAGCTACCCAATTTTCATGGAGAGCAAGCAAGTTGCAGTTCAACTGATTGTAAAAGGGGAGCTATATAATTCTCACTAGATGGTCTGAAATGAAAAGGAATCATCTGGGGGAAGTCCATTCCAGCTATCTGGAGGCTACATATTATCTCTGCCCAAGACTCTTTTTTTCACCTAGCTATTTTCCATCTAAGTGTGGGACACAGGGCCAATGTTTGGCTCAATATTAACACAATGTACATTTTTGCTGGAGGGTTGATCTCCTTGAGGAATGTGGAAGAAAGAATGGCTTAGTTGCCAGATGGCTGAATACTGTGGATTCTCTTGGACACCTTCAGAAATATCTAGTGCCTGGATCTCCCTGTGGTCATATGCATAGCATTGCCACCCTGAGGCACACAATCACACAGTCCTAGACAATGAGCCACAGACACACCAAGGCATGGTGATCATCTACAACTCAGATATCCAATGAAACCCCAGATTTTGGTGGTACTGTGGGTCTTAAGGTCAGTCAATCATTTGAATGATGGATATGTGGAGCAGGAGAAAGGCATGGTTATTTTAAAGCATTTTTTTTAAATTAACTAATATTTTTTTACAAACAATTTTTTTTAAAAAAAGATCTATTTATTTATGCATAGAAGAACTGGGGTGTAGGCCAGAGGTGTGGGGGTTGAGGGAGAGGATTCACCAGAGACAGAGTGGGGAGCTGAACAGGAGGATCTATTGAAATACATTGCTGAGGGGAGCAGCAGGCAAGACAGGAGAGGTCTGCTATGCCCTGGATTAGGGCACAGAGCACTACCACAGAGATGGTAGTGCTGAGACTTAACCCCTAGGCCACCAGGAAGGTCCCTACAAAAAAATTTTCAAGGTTGATAATTAAAGATCTGCCACAGAAAAAGTATTCTAGAACAAATGCATTTTGATTATAAAAACATTTTCAGATAATTAAATGCTGAATTTATTAAAATTTTAAATTCTAAATTATGTTGGATTGATATATCTGTGCATATATGTATGCATATATGTTTTAATATTTTCTATTTATGATCTACTAAAACCATGGCAATGCTCAATTTAAGATCAAATTAGGGAATATGTTACTTCCATTTCCTTTATTATAGTATTTACAACAAATTATAGGTTGTCAGGTCAACCTTATGTATCTAAAGCCTTGTTCTATCTTGAGCAAAATTAGCAGTTTGCCTTGTGCAGACATTATTAAGGGCTTCAGAACTTTCCTGAAGATGAGCAGAGTTTGGAGCTAAGATGGATTTGAAAGGGTTTCAGATTCATCAAAGAATGAATTCAGTAACACAAAAATTCCATTGGTCTGAAGAAACCAGACCTGGATAAATTTTAAAAGACTTTACAGCTTAAAGATATATGTTGTGAAGAAAAGATACAGTTTCATAAACATGAGGACATGACCACCTATGGTTGGAACTTTCAGTTTGGGAATCTAGTTCTCAGAAGCATTTCACAGAAAAGAAAATATGAAGAAGTGAACGTTATACCTGTGAGGTAGGTGTTGTGTGAGGAATTAATGAAATAGTGAGAAAGGGGCTGAGACATATCTTCATTCAAATCCAGTTTCTCAGGTGAAACGACTCCGTTTTCTTCTCCACTCAGATAGCGCATAAATCCATCCACTGATATCTGTCCTGGAGGGAATGAAAAGTTAAAAAGAATGTGAATGTATTCTTTGGTAGGTTGCTGGTATCATATGAATTCAATTTTTTTCCCCCAGAGAACTCTGGCAGCATTTAGGGTAGAAGACATTAGCTACAGTTGCATTTTAACATGGATAAGCAGTACTTTAGAATCATGCTACTTCACTGCAGGTTATCTGCAAATGCCACAAATATCACAGAAGAAAACTTAGTAACATGAACCTCACTGACATCCAAAGGAGTTAAACACCCAAACACCAACGTACTTTTTTTAAAGGTTTATTTTTATTTATTTATGCATACAAGAACTGGGTTGTAGATCAGAGGTGAGGACGGGTGAGAAGATTCACCAGAGACAGAGTGGGAAGTAGAAAAGGTGGATCTACTGAAATACACTGCTGAAAGGAGCAGGGGGTGAGACAGGAGAGGTTTGCTGCACCATGTGGGTTAACTCCCTGCCCAGAGATCGAACTCATGCTGCAGTGTCTGGCTATCACTTGCCAGCAGCAGAGACTTTAATCCCTTCAACACCAGGGAGACCTCCCCAACCTACTTTTAAATATAATAATGGTTATAAATTCTACAGAAGACCACCAAGATGTTATAAATGCTTATCTCTATATGCTAGAATTAGGGGTAATTTTCCATTACAAATATATATATTCCTTCTATATTAAGCACGTTATTCACTGAGCGTTTTCTTTGCGATAAATAATAAGATGATCACAAATAAGTCTCTCTAAGGAAGAAGAATCAAATGTTCATAAAAACATCTTTCCATTTCATACATAGAATGACTTTATTTCCAATGGAAGAAATATGACTCACACTTTAGATTACTAGGATTATATTTAGAATTTTTTCTTTTGTTGTAATTTTTCTGAAGTGACTAATGCTACGTATTGAGATAATTATTTGCTATAGTAATCTTTTAGATTACACAGAGATGGACAGCTGAATTATTTTTGCCCATCATCACAGTATATTTCTCAGTCTTAATAATCATACACAGACACAGAAATGGACACACACACACACAACACACAAGCACCATTTGTGGATCTGTGGGCAATAAAGACCTTTTCAGTACATGTTGGATGGTAACAATTCATTTTTCCTTGTTGAAATTTTTGTACTGCTTTAAATGTGACTTTTATTCACTGAAGAAAAATGCACAAATGAGATGAGCAAAGAGGAAAAATAAAACCTTTTATGAACATGTCTGACTCCTCTTTCAGAGGTAACTTCTGTTAAAATCCTGGTATGTGCAGTTCCAGGAAAAAAAAAAAGTGTCCGTGATTGTTTTATGAAGATGCAGTCATGGCTGTGTATGAATATATGATTTGTGACCTCCTTAGTATGAATGAAAATATATTTTGACCATTGAATATACAGATAAATGTTTACCTATATTATATAAAAATAGTATTTATGTTTTATAAACTCACATATATAAAACCTTAACATGACTAAGTATTATTTGAGGGTCTTAGTGCACATAACCAATTTGTTTTCTGTTAAAGTTCTAGCAATTTACTCTTTTACCTATGGTTTTCCTTCTTTTCACCCCTACATCAAACTCATAGGTCAAAAGTATTATACCTAATAATTCTAAATTTTGTTAATGTGGGCATTTTTATTCTTGAACAGTAAAAGATGTGTATCTTTAAATGGCAAGGCTAGTACAGACTATTTGTCACAGTGTTACTCTATAAAATTCTCAAAATGAGTATTTTTCCAGATTCTAGAACTATTATGGCTAAATCACCTTTAATACTTTACAAAAATAAATAGAAAAAAAGAAATTTGGTGATTGGCTCTTGATGAAGGAGATGAGTTTTACAAAGAAATATCTTTTTCCGGTCTCCTGGTGAGCTAGGGGTTAAATCTCAGTGCTACCACCATGAAGGCCCACCATGAAGGCCTGAGTTTGATCCCTGGCCAGGGAGCTAACCCACATATGGTGCAGCAGACCTCTCTCTCTTGCCTGCTGCTCTCCCCTTAGCAGTATATTTCAGTAAATACTTCTGTTCTGCTCCCCAGTCTGTCTCTGGTGAATCCTTTTACCCTCCTGCACCTCTGACTTGCACCCCAGTTCTCCCATGCAAAAATAACTAAGTAAAATCTTTAAAAATTATATTTTTTCAAGAAACTTTTAAATAGGAACTATTGTACTGTAAATACCTTAAAATCAACTTGAACACGTACCTTAATAATCTTAAAAATGATAAAAGGAAGAATTGCTAAGATCTATAGTAAGCATTAGGAATGAGAAATACAACATTAAAGTTTTCATTTGCCATGCTGTGTGACCAATTTTTATTTATTTATATATTTATTTATTTATTTTTAAAGATTTATTATTTATACAAGCACCGGGTACAGTGAGAAGTGTGGGAGGGTGAGAAAATTCACCAGAGCCAGAGTATGGAGCAGAATAGGCAGAAGAACAGAGGTACACTGCTGAGGGGAGCAGCGGGTGGCAGGAGAGGTCTGCACGCCATGTGGGGCGCTCGCCCAGCTGCCGTGGATCTGTGCTGCAGCGCAATGAAGCGCTCAACCGCTGCGCCAAGGGCCGGGGAGGCCCGTGACCAATTTTTAATAAATAGTTTATACTTTAAAATAACCTTCACCTAACAAAGAGATCATGTGTTCATTGATGAGAACAATTTAGTTGTTTGTTGACTGAAGTATTTCTTTAAAATTTTATTTATGGTGGAATACATTTATTATAGCAGACTGGTTTCAATTTTTGCAAGCAAACCAAACTCAATATCCATTAGAATTAGAACTATTTGAACACATGAGTTTAAAAATACTTTGGTGTAGGGCCTCCCCGGTGGCACAGCGGTTGAGCGCTGGGTTGCGAAGCTGCCCGCAGCCTCTGCAGTGAAGGTTCGATCCCCGGCTGCTCCCCAGCCTCAGGAGGCGGGTACCACACGGCGCGGAGACCTCTCCTGCCGCCCGCTGCTCCCCTCAGCAGTGTACTTCGGTCCTTCTGCCTGCTCTGTTCCCCGCTCTGGCTCTGGTGAATTCTCTCACCCTCCCGCGCTTCTGACTGTACCCAGTGCTTGTATAAATGTATAAATCTTAAAAAAAAAAATACTTTGGTGTAGAAAATTTGGAGGTAAATTAGAAAGAAAAAAACTAACTTCTTCACAGTCTTCCCTTTTTCCTGTGACAAGTTTTCCTTATTAGGTTCTTCTCAAATTAGTCAAATTAGTCTTCTTATTCATGTTCCTTCTTTCCTTATTTTCCACAAAATTAACAAAGATTTACTGAGCATCTACTATGTGATAAATGCACAGAAAATTAAAGTACAGCCTTTGACTTCAGAGAGCTCATAAGGGCCTCCCTGGTGGCGCAGGGGGTTGAGTGTTGCACAGTGAGGCAGTTCACAGCCTCTGCAGCACGAGTTCGGGCCCTGGCTGGCCAGGGAGCACCTCACATGGTGAGGCAGACCTCTCCTGTCTCGCCTGCTGCTCCCCTCAGCAGTGTGTTTTGGTCAGTCTGTCTGTTCTGTTCCCTACTCTGTCTCTGGTGGGTCGTCTCACCGCCCCCCCCATCTCTGGCCTGTGCCCAAGCTCTTGCGTGCATAAATACATAAATCTTAAAAAAAAAAAAAAAAAAAAGAGCTCATAAGCTCACAGCAAATACAAGTCACACTTGAAAACCAGCTGTGAGCGCCTCCAAAGCAGGGTGTATTTATGTCTTTTTCATTCCTGGAATTTACCACAATGCTCTATGTATAGTAGGTTTTATTTATTTATTTATTTATTTAATATTAATTTTCATTTTTTATTTAAATATTTTATTTTATATAATTCTTACATCTTTTTTCATCTTTGCACAATGTATGCATTTTCATTTTGGTTATATTCCCCATACAATTGCACCTTCCCCCTTATTTTGACTCTAGTCCTTTCTTTCCCTGCCCCCCCAGCCCCCCATAGTGGGTCTCTGGTTTATAGTTGCTTGTTGATGTTGATTTTTACTTTGTATTGATTAGTCTTTTTCCTGGTCTCTTATTTAGGTTTTCTAAATCCCTGCTATGAGTGAGACCATCCGGTACTTTTCTTTTTCTTTCTGACTTGTTTCGCTGAGCATGATCCCTCCTAGCTCTATCCATGTTGCTGCAAACTGCATGTGTTTATCTTTTTTGAATGCTGAGTAATATTCCATGGTGTATATGTACCACATCTTCTTGCTCCAGTCATCTGTTTTTGGGCATTTGGGTTGCTTCCATAGCTTAGCTATTGTAAACAGTGCTGCTATAAACATAGGGGTGCAGGTGCCCTTTGGAATTACTGTTTCTGTGTCATCTGGGTAAATACCTAGGAGTGGAATTCCTGGATCATATGGAAGCTCTATGTTTAGTAGTTCAAGAAATCTCCACATAGCTCTCCATAGTGGTTGGACCAGTTTGCACTCCCACCAGCAGTGCAGGAGAGTTTCTTTTTCTCCACAACCTCACCAACATTTGTTGTTGCTAGTTTTTTTAATATGTGCCATTCTCTCTGGTGTGAGATGGTATCTCATTGTAGTTTTTGATTTGCATTTCCCTGATTACAAGTGATGTTGACCATTTTTTCATATGCCTATTGGCCATTTGCATTTCCTCTTCAGAGAAGTTTCTTTTTAGCTCTTCTGGCATGGTATTGGAACAAGAACAGACAAACAGACCAATGGAATCAAATAGAAAATCCAGAAATAAACCCACAGATTTATGGTCAACTAATATTTGACAAAGGAGCAAAGAATATGCACTGGAGCAAAGAAAGGTTGTTGAATAGATGGTGCTGGGAAAACTGGGTCGCTACATGCAAAAGAATGAAGCTTGACTACTACCTCACACCATGCACAAAAACTAACTCAAAATGGATTAAAGAACTAGACATAAGACCTAAAACCATAAAATACATAGAAGAAAATATAGGCGAAACACTACATGACATGCACCTCAAAGACATCTTTACAGACACATCGCCCAA